TTCTTTTCAGCAGGATGACACAGGCCTTCCCTATGGATGGAATAGGGAGATTGGGCCATGACCCACCACGCGGGCCCCAGTGCGTATTGGTGGGTGCTGACGACGACAGATGCAGCCGGGATCCGTTGATCCCGTTGATGTTGCATAACGTGCCTTCCGAAGCACGCAGAAGCTCGAGATAGTAAATTTTTGGTCACTCATCCAATGATCGACCACAGCGAAAGTTGCTTAACTTCCACTTTAACTTGCTTAACTTTCGCTAACCACTTGCGCCATCGAGCTCCTCTATTTTAAATAACATAAAAAGATATTAATTTTTCCTTTTGATTTAACTTCTGAATTATAAACGTGACCTGTAATCCCGGAATTTCCAAGGGAACGGGAACCTCGTGGGCAAAACCGCGGGGCGCAGCTAGTAATAATATATTAAAGTAAAATTTGCTGAATATAATTTATAGATATTGTGCTATCCTTATTGCTCTTCGTAGACATCGAATTTCGAAAAACACTGCACGTGAATGCGTTTATTCAAATACAAAGATAGGTACTTGCAAGCAACGACGAACTGCGTGGCAGAGTAGTTTTCTCTATTATTTCATAGGCTGCAAGGCAGCGCCATCTCTTTGCATTGTAGGTAACCCACTTAGCGTAATTTATTTAAGTAACTTCTGTTCACTATTACAATGCTAAGATTCAAAGCAGTCTTTGTGTTCAAAAAGCGGTTAATAGAATGATGAAAATAGTAATTAATGATAAAAAGTCAAAATCTCCAAAAAGTTGATACATTTACTTTAACTTACCTATTACTGTAGACAGATATTGTACATTAAATTTTATTGATAATATAATAATAATAAAATCATTTATTGCAGGTGGCTAAGACCCATATTTAAAACATGATACATTAATTAAAAATAAAAATACACTCATATTGTTATACTATAAAGTCAATCGTCTATTTGCGTTTCCCATCAGTGTGCACAGATAGCCAATATCTATAAATTGGATTGTTAAAATCCGCGCACAAACATTTTAGTATGCCCTTACCACAGCATCGCATTCCCTCCCAAAAAGAAGCTATGCCCACCCTAATAACAGCATAGAAGTCCGATACTCCAGCTTCCGCGGACATTGTAGAAGCACTGCGAAATCTCGGCAGACCCATCAGAATGCGAAAAATATCATTATATTGAACTCTGATGGTACTACACAACCTCTTGTCGTACTTCATCCACAGTTGACTGGTGTAGAAATTGACAGAATGAACAGCGACAATTTTACCCGCCTGCTACACCGATTAAACCTACGGGCGACCATATTGCCACGAACAGCCATTGCCCTTCTTTCACGCTCTATGTCCCGGTCGTCTTTCACATCTTCGGTCAGTATATGTTCAAAGTACCGGAATTGGCTTACAACTCCAACAGGTGTCCCGTTTAATTTCACATTAGGCACGTTATCCGGACCCTTTCCTGCTTTAAATACCAACATTTCAGTTTTTTCAGCACTGTATTTCAGACCATGGGAATTTATATAATTATCACAGACTGAAAGTTCTGAAACTGAAAGGAAGCTTCCTACGGCCCTTAATGGAAAAACTCAGGAGCACCATGTCATCAGCGTAACTAAGACTGTTAACACAGGTCCCACCTACGTGACATCCAATTTTAGTGCTCTTCAGTCGTCCCATTAAGTCATTCATTAAGTTGAAAAGATCCGGAGAGTTGAGCCCGCCTTGACGTACACTGCATTCCAATTTATAGCTATTAAATAAATATTAAAATAAATATAAATAAATATTTCCGACACTCACACCAATTAGCCTAGCCCCAAAGTAAGCACTATAAGGCTTGTGTTATGGGATGCTAGGGTAACGGAGAGAATACATATACTGTACATATATAAGTATATTTATATAGAAATACATATTAAACATCCATGACTGGAGTACAAATGCTCGTATTTATCACACAAACATCTGCCCCCACCGGGATTCGAACCCGGGATCTCTTGAGTCGGCGATACCATGAAACCCGGTTACAAACCACTCGGCCACGGAGGTTGTCAATATTGAGAATAGAGTCGAGTATTGGGTTGCAAATGTTTGCTGGGAGCAACGCTACAACTAACTATGTAGTTAGTTTGGTTTCCGTACCAGAACCCAAATATTCGTACAAATTCCACCCGAGTCCCTTAATTTTTGCCAGATAATTTCATAATTCACTAGGTCCAAATTGCGACTCAGGTCGAGTAAACACGCGTAAACCGTAGTGTTGTAGCCAACATAGTAATTAACAGTGTGCTTTAGAGCAAAAATGGCAGAGTCGGTTGAGAGATTGGGACGGAAACCAAACTGCGCATCATCCAATTTCCAAGCACCTTTGCAGTTCAGGTTGCAGCAAACGTTGAAATACCTTCCCTATAATAGTACCCAATGAGATAGGCCTGTAATTAGTGGAAGACGATAAATTACCAGAATTGTTTTTGGTAATGGTGGGAACGATTTTTGTTGGCATCATATAATAGGGGAGATACGAATACCTTAGGCAAAGATTTAGAAGCTGGGACCTGGAGATTTCCCCCGCTTCATCCTCCCCACCACCTTCGCTATTTTCTCAGGAATAAATTGAAATTTATTACCCGTTGAAGCATGGTCCTCCTTCGAGGCAAATTTGCACTCATAGCCGCCCGCAGGCTGTGGACTTAAATTTAAATATATTCGCGAAGTTATTGGCTATCTGTTCAGGTTGTTGCACATCATCTACACTTATTGGTAAAGACTGTTTTGATGAAAATTTACGCGTTTGCTTCCAAAATGACACAAACTTTTTATTTTTACAAGTATACGCCAATATGTCAAGTTTGATTTTCTCTTCATTCTTAAGCTAATTCGCTTTTAAACTGCTTCCTACTGCAACACATACTATCGTAAATAGGTCCTGAATGAGGTCTACTAGCAGTAATCCACGACTCAAAGTGTAATTAGTATAAGTTATGACTATCTTTCACATAAATTTTCCATCCAGAAATGCTTTTGCATTTACGTTTTATAGATGGGGAAATCGCAGTAGTTTTAGCTCCTTTGGTTAAAATTGATACAATAGATTCATATAATATATCAATAAATTTAAAATGATCATTTATAAAAATACATTGCTTGCTGTTCATATTATTATATATTCATTAAAAGCTTATTACAATAATTAAAATATTTGCCAAATTGTTTCGCATCTCTGTTGCCCCAGCGCACTCCAGTTGTTTACCGTGAAGTTCAGTTCTACCCTCTAGGTTACACATTATTTTTAAAGGTAAATGGTCCGACCACGACACTTCAGCAGAGACCTTTGTAAACGCAATGGTCTAACCATTTACCCACCCATTTAGCGACCCATTAGAGTCGCTAATGTACGTGAAAAAGAATAAGTATATACCAGATTTTTCAATATCTGCGCACACCCACTCCTGCTCACGATAAAAACTAAGTAGCTCCTTGCCAAACCGTGCATCTGGATGCGCATTAAAGTCCCCAAGTATATAAGCAAACTGTGCATTTTATTGTTCAATCATGGAGCTTATTATCGCTAAACAGTTTGTAAACTCGGTCAAATTATCAGGCTCATCGGTCGGCATATATACATTAATGACCAGTTAAGTACGTAGTAATGCGGTCACATTCACATTCAATTATGGTAACATTGGGAAAGATTTTCTTTCGCCAAAATAATGCAAGTCCACCATACGGCCTTCCTCGCAGCACTCAGTCGATGTGTCTACCGAGGACTTTGCAGTTGCTGAGAATTCTGAGTGCACCGATTGTACGAAGTCTAAATCATACGGCAATAACCAGGTCTCTTAGAGTGCGATGATATCGGTTTCATCACAAAGATGCCGATGATGATATGCTGACAAATCATCTATCACTGTTTTGCTTACGGTCACCAGTACCCAAAGCACGAACAATTAGCGACAAAGTATTCGTATCCTGTGGAGCTCGATGGCGCAAGTGGTTAGCGCGTTCGGCTGTGAAGTTAAGCAACTTTCGCAGTGCTCGGTCATTGGATGGGTGACCAAAAATTACTATCTCGAGCTCCTTCGTACTTCAGAAGGCACTTTAAGCCGTTGGTCCTGGCTGCATCTGCAGTCGTTAGCACCCACCAATCCGCACTGGGTCCGCGTGGTGAGTCATCTCCCTATTCCATCCATAGGGAAGGCCTGTGCCCCAGCAGTGGGGACATTAATAGGTTGATGATGATGATGATGATTCGTATCTCCATGTCAGTTTCTATGTAAAAAGTAGTTTGTTCTTAGGTCCAGTAGAGGCGCTGCTTAGTTTCCATAGAAACTTTGACGTTGGCTGTACGAATACGGATCTGCGTGCTTGTGGTTCAGTTAAAACACAACTAAAGCCAAAGATGCCTTAGTTAGGGTTCCGTTATATTGACAAACTACGAGCGTCTTCATATTGGGGATGGCAGTCTACAGAGGCGTAAGAGAACTGCAGTGCTATTTTGTAAATTTTCACGAAAATTTTACAGAATAGCACTGCAGGAGCGGCCTTAGAAATGACAAGACCCGGAGTGACAGACAGATCTTTGCAAACTTGAGCAAATAAAAAAAATTGTATCCTCTTCAATTAATTGTAGATTTCATTGAAATAAAATCAATAGTTTTATTTCACTTATAATTTTTTATTTGTTTAAAACACTGCATCTCGCCTCGCTTATTTGGCTAAGGGAATAGCTTAAATTAAACGAAGAAAATTATTAATTTATAATTTTTTATTTTCATTTTTTAATTTATATCAACCTGCTATCGTCAATATTGGCATCTTTAAGAAATATAATATTCCTTTTTTAATGGAAGAATTAAAACAATGCTTACATTAATTTGGCAAATCCAAATTAACCTCAATAACAATTGCAAAGTAGATATTTATAAAACATAAAATGTTTATATAAAATATACATTTTTTACAAAAATGTAACATCATACAGCTAATTGAACTAAGAGACTATCATTTTTGTTATAAAAATACTTAACATCGACTAATATTGCTATATAATAATAATAATTAAAAATAAACAAAATCAGAATACAGATATGCGAATTCTCGAAGTATTTATTATCAGATTATTTACAAGAGAATAAAATTAAACGCTTATCTAATAAAATTAAATATTATACAAAATGTACATTAAATAAACCCTAATAATTTGCCTATGCATTCGTGCATAGGTGGAGACAAAAATGTAATAAAATTAAATTTTATTCACGTTACATTAGATCACCTTAAACTTTTGCCGAGTTAATAAAATACAAAGAAGTTTTTGTAAATAATGAGGGCATACGTTATTATTTTAAATCATAAACCTATCACGTTGTCGTTAACAGGTGTATGGCGTGACTTCTTAAAAAAAATATCAAACACAATGACTTGGCACGTTTTACACAAGGGAGTTTCGCTTCGATTCGCAAATTCCGTTAAAAAGACTCAAACAATTTCAACAGGTAATTTTTCATGATTTTAATGGAACAACAATAGTTTGCGATACTCCTCTAAGTGGGTGTATAAAGTGGGTGTATAAGAAAGTTAAAAGTCTACTAAAAACTTTATTTACTAGCGCTCGAGAAAACCCTATCAACTTGTCCAAGTAAACGTTTATAAATAATATTTTTTTCGTTACAGACAAATTCTCTTTCAAATATGCTAATTTAATTATTCATTTTATAAATTTAGAAACAATGTGTTCTTAATTTTCAATTATTATTATAATAAAAGTTTACTTCTTATTACAAAAAGAGTTTGATTATTTAATCCCAAACAAAGCAGAGCTTGTATTAAATAAGTATGAAAAAAATATGATTCTAGTGTGAATACTTAAAGCTCAAACTCACTTTATACACAGGACATTTAACGTAAAAGGTAACAACGCCAGCTTTACATTAAATGATCTTCAATGAACAGACGTCTAAATTGTAGTGAGTTTAACAGCAAGTTTGGAAGAAAATAAGTCAGGAGTATGAAAAAAATCAAGAGAAGTGGTACATTCAACATTTTAAAGGTTTAAGACCATCAATCACGTCTCTAATAATTTTGAGCTTAACGTCATAACACATTAGAGTTTAAAATCAATGGAGATATTAAAGCCATTGCCGATCATCTAAATGTCATCAAAATTGAGAGAACATCACACCACCTGCACATATTCAGATCTCTGGAATAAGATTATGACAAGTACGCTCAATATTGCACACCGAAAACAAGATAAAAACTCGATTTATCCAATACAATTGCAAAGCAAAACAAAGACAAAATCTCGAAGGTATTTAGAAACGCAACAACATAATAGTTGTTGTAAATATTTTCAAGCAGAATGAGTTTAAAACCATGACTTTAAGCCCGTTTTTGTTACAATTACTGGAAATTTCTTCTTCAGGCATTTTCAGCTTTTTCATAATCAATAGAATCCAAAACAACTTGCCGAGCTAGAAAAACAAAGCCTGCGAGGAATGAAAATTAACAGGTCGAATCTGTAATTATCGCCATTATTTATTTACAAAGCAACAGGGTACTTTTTGGCCTATCAAGTCATTATATATTCGGTGGAAGTTTTCCTAACAAAACGTAACAGCAGAACGACTATCTCGGTGGGCATTATAATATTACGTATTTATGTACAATTTGAAATAGATCATTCGCTGCTATGTTCACATTGTTTGGCATATAATTTGTGACTCCTCATACTCCTATTTTGTACCTAATTTAAGTCAGAGCAGGCCAAGAGTAGCAAAGAGAAGTGAAATTTCAGATGATATTGATAAAATAACTAAGAAAATTCAAAACGCATAACACATATTTATTATAAACTAACTTTACTACGAACACCAAAATTTACTTTTCCGATATTTGAAGTGAAACAGCCACACTAATAGCGGCATCTTGCTTTCACCACTGTTTTTGGATCGAATTGAAAACGGCATGGCAAGGACTCAGTAAAATTGAAATATTCATGTTTTATTCTAATGCAGGTAAGTATTCGTGTTTATTTTCTCTTGGTCGGCGCTGACACAAACCTCCTCATCCCATTCAAGTTATGCCACCCTATGGCACGTTTGCAGGCTTTCATACAATTCTCAAGGCACCAACAATACAAGTTAAGGCACGTTTGTTAATACAATAAAATATATGAGTACGATATCAGATTCAAATTTGATAATGTAACTTAGAATTTAGAACCGTATTCCAAAGTAACTACAATAATAATCAGCCTATCCTGAATAGAAAAATATGACGGAGAATTCAAAAAAACTAAATGAAATCATTTAGTTTTTGTAGATTTAGATTATAAAATTTATTAAATTAAATCAAGAACTATATTTCCGTCTAGACTGGGATATTTTATTCAAGTAGGTCGTTAATTTTACCAAAACCAACGCATACGACATGAATATGAATTCAGTAGCAATTTAATGAAAATCAGTTTCTTTTTCGGTCCCAAATTCTTAAGCAATTTATCAAATCTTTTTCTTTTACATCATGAACTCCTTATGGCACTGTATTTGTAACAAACATTACTCAGAGTTCCGCATTATAATTATATTCCCTTCATATATATATATATATGTATATACATATTATATATTACCAATAACGAATAGATAGCAGTTTTTATTTAATATAATTCTTTTCAACTTCAGTCTTCATTGCAGAAATCTCATAGGCAATTATAATCACAGTAAATATTTTATTTGCGAATTTATAAGGTGCCATTACAACAAAAGGCCATCATTCTTTGGGTAGATTTGGATCATTTAATACCAATGCTTTTTAAAGGCAAATATCATGACAATAATTTTGTATTCTGTTGATTTCTTCGATTAACTTCGTTTGCCACGGGGTAATAAATATATTTTAATAAGTTTTTAAGAGAAATATAAAATGATCAAATTCATACCCAGTCGCATTCACTCAAACCTGAACACCTAGTACTCTATCAACAACAAATTCATATCTCACATCATCAGTCTTGGCTTCTTTCTCTTCAATGTTAGCGTCATCACACTTCGGCAGATTCTCGTAGCAGGGCTCGTTCAGGCAGGGATTCTTGCATTCAATTACTTGTTCCTCTGCGCTTTCGATTGAATCTTGTTTGACCGTGTCGGATTTTTCTAAAGCTTCCGTGCGACTACGGAGTTCGTAAAAGGTTTTAGAGGAGCGGCCATCTGGAGTTCGCCTCTCTTCTAGTTCATCCTCCCAGTCATCTTCCGACGCTTGGTCTTCGTCATTCGGCAAGATTGGTACGGTGCTCTTGCTTCTAGTGAAGAAAGCCATCTTTTCTCTGTTGACAAGGAAATAAGACAGTAAATATATGGACAGTAGCACACACGTTACCTTGATACCGAGGTACTAATCTAATCAAATAACGACACTGCTTAGAAACGACATGATGACATCTTTCGTGGAATATCTTCAAAAACTTAAAATCCTTGTGCTATTTAATATCAGCCAAACTTTAAAGACTAGTTGATATAAACCATACTGTTGACGGTCACAAAAACATAAATTTTACGATACGGACACTTAAAAGATTTAAAGAAGACTAATTTCAGAGAGTTCACGGAGATCCTGGAATACCTGAATAATCTTCATTTGAACTTACTTAAATGTGACGAGATCCGGTTTCCTGCCCCCTTGGCGGGACTTCCTCAGCCGGTAAATCTCTCTGCAGGTGCGATGCAGGAGTCTGGTGGTCCTGTCTCCAGCATCCGTTGGGTTGGAGAGCAATCTCCTGAGGGACTCGTCTTCAGCCACCCACGCGGCCACGGCGGGGTCGCCGCGAGCACACGCTTCCTCTAACCTGTTTGGGCAAAATGAGATCTTTATAAATCAAGATTCATTGCCATAACATATTCTTTCAGTGGCTTAGCATGGCGTAGTTGGTTCGCTGAATCCTTCTAAAATATTTATCAGGCACTTTCAATAATTTGATACGTTCAAAGTGTTTAATGAAATCATTGGTGTAAAAACATTGAAATAAATATAGAAATTAGGTAAAACCCATTCCTAGGGAAGGCCTGTGCCCCAGCAGTGGAAACATGAATAGCCTGATGATCGCTATATATTTTTTTAAGAATTTAACTGATATATGTTTAAAGCTAAAAAAAATAGACTCGAACTATCTAGCGAAGGGTGCGGGTGCGAGTCCCGTCTGCTGCCTCCGTTTTAATTTCTTTCTAACAAAATTTTCTTTAGCCTGATGACGTTAAAACAATAATATGAGTAAAGCGACTTCTGATATAGAATACCATCTGTTCACGATGTACTCGAGCAGAATGGCGATATTCTAGAGTATAGCACTGGCTACGTTTCCAGTATAACTCGACCGTGCGTGCAGCGTACTGAGAAAGCGCAGGAGGGTGGCATAGACAAGTGTGTACTGGCCACTTGTCCGGCGCGTAATGATGAACTCTCAAACAAAGACTCAAATATTTAACGATAGGGTGGGTACATCTGATTTAGAATATCTTAATTTTATTAAAATACATATTATATGGATATTTTTACTAGGTACCTATCTATTGTCACGTAAACGTAATTTAAACGCAGATAAATTCAAAACTTTTGATTAAATACGTTTTTTTACCGACAAAATAATCCCGCTTTTTTCACTCAAAAAGTTCCTAAATCTCGACTTGGCAAAAAAAAACTGGCAACGCTGAGCACTCACCTTTTCTTGAGTTGTGTAAGGTGCGCGATCTCATTGCGCAGATCTGCCAGGCGGTCGTTCTGCGCGCGCAGATCTAGCGTGAGGTCGAGGGAGGTGCGAGCCGTGCGCGTGCGCGTCGAGCTGCGTCTCAAAGCACCACCTTGTACGCGACCCCATCTGTTGGCGATATAATAAGTATGTTATAAGAAAGAAAGAAAAATCATTTATTGGCCTCATACACGCATATTCAAGACTGACAAGTTTCATACAAACTACTAACTATATTATACTAATATTAATACTATGATTTCATAAGTAAAGGAACATCATTATAATGAGCTTTCATGATCACTAACATTATAATTATTAGCGGGATTTGCAACCTTGTACCTTGTATTTTCTGAGTCCCCGATATTTCGGCATTGTTGCAAGCGTCATGATCACGGAGTAACTGAAGTCGTTGCGGGTAGGATGTTATTGGCAGACATATCGGTCTACCCTCCAACTATTTCTCTTATTACGTTCGTTAGCCGTACCACGACAAAATAACAAGGTACATGGTAACAATCCCGCTACCGACTTTAATAATAGTAAAGGAACTATTGAGTACTAACCTGAGAGACCTGCGCTCGCGCACACTTCTATCAAAAGGTATGCCGGAAGGAGGCGGCTGCAGTGTCACTCTTCTCGCGTATTGCACCATAGAAGAATCCGACTCGGAACGATTCAATCTGCAAAAACGACGATACACATTAATCAAAATCAATTAAAGATGTATCAAGTAATAACTATATATACTTTACAAAGTTTAGGAATAGTTTTGATAAAATACCTGCAAATATAATGCCCTTTGCCGATACTCTGCGGTTGTGGTGAGAATGTTTGAGATCTCTTTATTGTAGCTTGAGGCTCTTCAGGATTCGCGTTAACTTGCTGACTTTTCCTAATAACAAATGATAGTGACAAAATTAATAAAAACCGCAAATTATCCGAACCTGAACTTGGTTTAAGTACACGTTCCAAAGAAAAAAAAACTGTTATTATCAACTTGATAATTTTGTTGCTATTTAATTTCACACATTTAATTATATCCATTTTGATTTATTACGTTATCAAAATAATTAATAATATGTTTTAATTAAATTAGTTTTATGTGTCTTTATAATAAAATACTCTTTTGATACATTCACATTGTGCCTCGTTTCATGCTTATCATGCATATTCAGTAAAATATTCATTATTCATTATTTTAAAGCATGCAACAATATGTTGCAACGTGTGTTAAATTTTAATGGTGAAATTCAGTTTCATGAGGTTTCTCCTATCGTTTACATTATGAATATAAATCCATTCTTTATAAAAAAATGACCTTATATACAAATACAAAAAACCATAGACGTAACAAAATTCAGACATGGACTGATATGATATTATATAAAATAAAAAGTTCATAAAAACAAATATTTCATTGCAAATAAAAATAATTCGTATCAGTCAAGTTCTTATTTCAACGAGTAATTGTCTCACTTACAATAAAAACCCTTCGCCATTATTTAAAAATTAACAACACGTAACAACAAACTCTTATCACTACGACAACGCACAAGCAGCATCCCAACATCATCAAGCACAATGTAAACGTACCTATATGATACAAGAATATATACAGTGTACGTTTCGCACAGACGGGCGGTTTATTTCTCTAGCGCGGAGCGGGCGGGCCGTCCGTCCGCCTCCACACGCGGGACCCTCACATATCTGCTGGGACACGGGAGAGACATGGCTCAGTACCGACACCAAGGTTAGTATTGTGCGTGAGATTTTCATAAGCATAGAAGTACTACTGATAGCTTAAATAATTTCATATCTGAAATCTCTGGCCTTAATCATTATTCTTTGAAAACTAGCTGCAACACGTTTAGATAGTTAAGCAGCAGCACTTTATTGATGAAGCTAAATGATTATTCACATTGTAATAGTTTCATCAAGCATACTAATAGTACTTCAATGCTTTTTGGTGTTATTTACATATACACGTATTATTGATGAAGTTCTAAATCACTTTATTTTATTAATTTTTTACATGTCCAGAAAATTAAAAAATAACCTATCTTGTTTGAGTTTGTAACAGTCGTAAAATTAACAGTCGTTAGATTTACATAGCGACAACTTTTGAAATAGACTTTTGGATATTGTATGGTATTGTTACACATTTTAAAGTCTATGTAAATCAAACGAACTATAATATAGAATATTTTAAGAGACGTCAATTAAATATATTTTAGTCAAAGTAACATTTGGTCTTATTATATTGGTCTCGCAAAGAAAGTGACATCATAACTTTAATTGATATTAAAAAAACGGCTACGTTGGACTGCATTTTCCTTAAATAACATTGAATTCATGTTAGCCATCACCGATCAAACTAAGCCATGTACAGCATTAAACTAGAAGATTTTATAGTAATAATCCCACAACCAAATTAATATCACAATATAAGCGATTTATAATCATAAGTATAAATTACTAAATTACGAAATCCTACAAATAAAAAAATCTATAAAATTAACATAACCGAAGAGAGAGAGAGTAGTTTAGTAATTTCATAATCAGATATATCCTTATTATTTAGATTTGAAGAAATGAAAGGTCGTCTCTTGCGTGAAAGAGAATCAAACCTACCTTTTGTGCAGCTGTCTCGCTCCCTCCGGACAGAAATTGCATTCGGTGTTGGTCTCCTTCTCCGCAGTTGGTGGATTGAGGAATTCCTCTTCTAGAGCTATATCCTCGGGAATGTAGTCCTCGAACGAATCTTCTTCCACTATCTGTTAGGGAAAAATGAGCTTTAAGCCTGACACACAAAACACAAGAGTTTATGGAAAGCTAAAAAATTAAATAACACGCTATAAATCTTAATTTTGCTGTCATTTGAGTTGCTGAGAGCCTCATCGACTAATCAATGTGTCAGTAGACAGACCTGCCAAATTTAGTTCAAAATTTATTACAGCAAATGCAATTTCTGCTTTCCAACATTGTTCGATAATAAAAACTCTTTATCAATAGATAGATAGAGGTATATTATATGAAAACTTATTTGACAACAGGTCATTTAAGGCTTAATTGAATTAATAGCAGATAGTAGCATATTATTTTCTGATAAGCTCTGATGTTCAGCTTACCTGATTAAGTGGCTCTCTAGACTCTTCGTCGTCTGATGCTGAGTTGTCCCCACAGTCGACATTGCAGTCTGCACCCATCATACTTTCAGGACCTGGTGAAAAAACTTAGTAATTTTACTTTTAGCCATTGTACGTATTTGTGAGGCTATTTTGTTAGGAACTACTTATAATACTAGGCCAAGTGGAATGTTAATTAAACCAAGCTGTTCGCATTTTAGGACCTTATCACTAATCAATCAATGATAAGGTTCCAAAAGTGCATGCAAAAATTTATCATTGCCATTTAATTGATCATGGCACTTGCAACAGTGCCAAAACATCGGGGGAAAAACAAGGTAATGCCTTGATCACACGTACCGAATAAACGGACGAGACAGTAAAATGTTTCTCGGTCGAGATAGTGATGTAAACGAGCGCTCGGCCGAACACTATGTTTATACGTACCGAGTACTCGGCCGAGAGCACTGTCTCGCTCGTTTGCTGGGTACGTCTGATCAAGGCGTAAATGGTAGCAAGCCCGCTTATTTCTATAAAGAGAAAGAGTTGTTTACTTCTGTTAAACTGTGTAACAAAGGTAGATATGGCGTTCGCCATATTTTATCCTAAAGAGTTACAAACTGTTACTGAATAACTACTAACCTCTATTTCTCGTAAGCGTAGAAGTCTGCGAAGATATGACGGTGGACTCATCAGAACTCTCGTCTCTCCTCATACAGCGGAAACTTAGCACGTTGTACCACTTCTGAAGAACCGTCTCCGGGTCATAGTCCGCTAAGCTGACCTGAGCGCAGCCCTGTTAGACAAAACTAGGGTTTAGAACAGCTGAACAGCAACGGTTAAGGTTTGAATAGCGATTGTCTCGATTCAGTTGGGAAATCGCTCTCGCCTAGTTTTAATCACATGGCACTCGAGGCTTTTAGCCGAATACTCGAATTTGGCTAGGTGTCATCATAATGTATTTCTAAAAGATGGATTTTTATTTTTGAATACGTGCATTTATTCCGGGGTAAAGGAGCTAATGTATTTTATTTTTCAGAAATTAGCATAACGTTGAGTGAATCAAACAAGAGATTTACTGTTTTTACTTATCACTAGAAACCTACCTTGTAACATTATAATTCTGAATGGTATTTGAATTTACGTTGTAAAGCGCTATTCAAAATATATGGCAGCTGTGAAGTTAGCAGCTGGTGCAAATATGCGCAGGTTTTCTTTTAGCATCACCCGTCCCATTCCCCATCTTCGCGTATTCACCTCCATTATCTTACATTTCGTTCACTGTGTTACGTCTTGAGCTAACTTCATAGCCGCTACTACGTTATTATAGGTCGCGGCAAACTTCCGAGCCATACCACAGACAAATAAACTTGCGCAGTAGACGGTTTTGTGCGTAAAATTGCTTTCTTTGAGGAGCTCGATGGCGCAGGTGGCTAGCGCATTCGGCTGCGATAGTTGAAGTTAAGCAACTTTCGCAGTGATCGGTCATAGGATGGGTGTCTTCTATCTCGAGTTCCTCCGTGATTCGGAAGGCACGTTAAGTTACTGTTAGTCCCGGCTGCATCTGCAGGCGTTAGCACCCGCCAATCCGCACTGGGCCCGTGTGGTGGGTCATGGCACAATCTCCCTATTCTATCCATAGGAAAGGCCTGTGCCCCAGCAGCGGGGACATTAATAGGCTGATGATGATGAGGTTTTCTTATCTTAAATCGTTGTTCAAGAAGTTTGCCGGTATGTACATTACACTATTAATCTCAACTCTTTTCTTTGTCACTCACCAGACACTCGGCGCCTTGCGTGAGGTTGACCTGCAGCGTGGCCGCTCTCAGAGCCCGGGGGCCGGCGACAGCGGCGCGCTGTACCAGCCGCCAATTGAGCGCCGCGCCGCGCCACGCGAGCCCCGGCCCGCTGAATGGGACCCCACAGCCCCCGCCAACGACTAGCGCCCCGCGGACCGCGCTAAACAAACGATCGCTATTAATGCTAGCACTTCAAACTGCTATACGTATCATGTAGCAGTATATTCTTAACAGAGAGTGGCCTATAGGGAATGAAAAGAAAAAATAATAGAACAGCCACCAGTTGAGCGCCGCGCTATGCCAGTGCTGGCCCGCTATACGGCATCCCGCAGTCCCCGCCTACGACTAGAGCCCCGCGGACCGCGCTGAACAACAACACTTGCTTTTAATACTAGGACATCACATAGCTAGTCATATCTGCTAGCAGTATATCCCTTTCATATCATGTCCTATATCGAACAAAGTGAAGGAAACAATAAAAAGGCGCCAGTTGAGCGACGCGCCGCTCCACGCCAGTCCCGGCCCGCTGAATGGGACTCCGCAGCCCCCGCTCAAGACTAGCGCATAGGACCGCGATAAACATCAACACTCGCTATTAACGCTAGCTTTTCACACTGCTAAACGTGTCAGCTTCATGCTCTTTATGGATTGAAAAGGAGGGACAAACAAGGGGAACATCAAGGAGCCGCGAGTTGAGCCCCGGCCGACTAGCGCCCCGTAGACCGCTGTTGACAATAAAGAGACGAATCTATATTGGCGACGCAAAACATTCTACTAACATTATACTTCGGGACTCGACCACGATATAAGAAAATTCAAAATAAAACCACCGTCAAAATTTTCTAATGTTTAGCGAGTGATAGTGCAGCAGCAACGCTCCTGCCTTCTGCTGCAAAAGTCATGATTTCCGTGATTTCAAATCACGGCAGGCATACTTATTTGTGTGATGAGTACTAACTACAAACAGCACGAATGAAAGGAAGAAGAAGCGGACAGGTGATCTCTGGCCCGCTGAACGAGACCTGGCTACATAAACAACACATAAACCAGACCAGCGGGAATTATAAAATAATGTAGTTTTACGTTTGATTTATTTTGATTACAATCTAAACTAACCTAGAGTGTTAAATTAAAATTAGCGATAATAACTCACACTTCAGTCCCCACATCGATGAACAAGGCGTGAAGGTTGCGCGCGCGCATGATGCCGATCTCCAACGCGCTCTCATCCGGACAGTAGCGCAATTTGATCTCAATTTGCGCACTGTTCACTGTTGAAAAATAAAAACATATTTTTATTAAAGTTCACAAAAATGTATTAATTTAAATACATAATTTAGAAAATTCTTGAACGCCAAAACCACTTTTGTAATAAAATCTAGATGCATCAGCTTGGATCAATGCAAAGAAAGTGTATAAATAGCAATTGGAGCTTCGTTTAGGTGCAAATCTGCCTTAACCATGGAATAGATAACTCAACAATATGACGCTTGTTTTCTTTGCTCTGGTAATCAGCAAAAAATAAAAACGTGTGCTTAGTTACGTATGTACTAAACTACTTACAGGCGTTGGAGGGGTCGTTTTGCGCTTGCGCAGCCTCGAATACTCCAGAATCGCCCGCCACCGACTCGTCGCTCACAGCAGCCGACACTGATCTAGTATTTGTACCTGAAACAATAGGAAAAATAAAATCATCGTTATCGTCAGTTTGTCAATGTCTCATTTATATACGAATAAAGCAGAATTCGACATAATCCTATTAAAAGGCAAAACGCTGCAGATCTTTACAGTACATTGTTATAAAGTCTTCTCACTTTATTTTAGCTTAGAGACTTTGTCAAAACGTCGTTTTTAGAAACGATTTCAAATTAAGAATTAATAAAGCAAGATTTATTACTGCCTGCATGGGTAAATATCATACGCCGGTGGTTGAAGAGGAAGGCATAACATTATCATCAGACGGAGTGTAACATTGAATATGGCTGGCAGCGTATTCTGTAACACAAAGCATTTAGGAGTTTAAACTGGAGTAAATAAAGTCTACTTACCACTAGAAGAGGGTGTTCTAGGTGACAACGGTGGTGGGGGTGTTTCGGAGATGGGTGATAGCGGTTCACTGGGCCGTCCAGGACCTTGCAGCTGAACTGGAACTGAACAATTTGAAAATAATTCAAGATTAGTATAAAAACAGAATACTTCCATTTTTTTATAAAATAATATGTGCTAAATGTTTTGGTTTCTGGCGGCGAGTAAGCTTCTCCGGGTAGGGAATAGGGTTAGGGTAGGCAAAGCTAAAAATAAAATAAAACGCAAACTTTATAAACTATGGTGTCCGCTTACCATCAGGCGGGCCAAAGACAGTTTGCTACCCTTTTTACATAAAAAACATTTCATATTTTTATTTTATTATTTATTTTATTTATTAAAGTGTATTATTAAAAATGAGATATTTCTCTTCCTTACGTTGTTTACTTAGACAGCGTTTCCAAAATGGTCGCGACCCCAGGCCACGAAAACAAACTTCCAGGTCGCAACATTATGTCATTGTTTACAAACAATCATATTAGTTCATGATTTTCGAGAGAGAGAGAGAAGTGTTGTTTTTGTGTCAAAAGATTAATAGGGAATTCTTAACGATACCTAAATATTGCCCATATTATTTAATGATTGTGATTAAATCATAACTGAACTCACTTGTTGCAAGTCCAGTAACTTCATTGAGTCCAGTAGCGACATCTATCCTCATTTCAGCTAGTTTCTCTTCTAATTCTCTTTGTTGCCGCCTTTGCCTTTCGACCTAGTAAAGGAAGAAAAAGTTTTGCTAATAACCAAAATAATAATATTATTATCATAATTATTTGCACATATACTGGAAACGATAATTTTTTTTTTCAGTCTTACTATTTAATCATGTAATTTAACAGATCTTCTTATTTTAATATTTCGAATTCCTTTGAAAAATGGTTTGAATAAGTACTTTCGCTTAAGGCTCGGCCAGCCATACCATAACCGACCTTACTGACCTCTGACGAATGGAAAGAAACAGTTAATCCCAAAAATTTATTGCCCAATATATGTACGCCCACGTCGATTTTGCCCAAACGTTGCCACACATATGACAGACAGTCTCTTCAAACACAACAATGACTATCGTATTATCCGTTTGTCCATCTGAGTTGACCTCTAGCACTCGATAAACGGAAAGTGAGAATTTTATCTCTTGGACAGATCGCGGCCCCTATGTGTTAATGTCAAACGTTTTGTGAATGCTAATTTGATACCGATTCTGTCTGGTGTCATATTACACGAGATATAGAAAAGCTTATTATATCAGTATTGTATTCGTCAAAAGACATGGCAATTGTTAATGAATTTCTAAATACTGAGAAATGAGGAGCGGATATGTTTTTTAAGACTACGCTAATGGAAATAACAAAAAATAATAATAAATGAGCGTCATAAATCATAAAAATTTTAAAGGGACATCGTCTTTATCATCATAGGTTTTTTTAAATGTCCCCACTTATAAGGCATAAAACACAAAGAGAACGAATAAACGAGAAAAATATAAGGATTGAAAGGCATTAAACGGTACCTGAGTATATGAAGGCGGTGGCGGCGGTGGGCTGGCTGAGGATAGACTACTTCTTGGTGATAACGAAGGTTGCGAGGGAGAACTGCTCGCTCCAGGTGTTACACTGTCCGCGTTGTAGCTTGAGCCTCTCAGTAGCCTAAAAGGTACACTGAACTAAGTAATATTGTCATAAAAAAAAACAACACAAAAGTAAAATATAGCAACTTAACATTTTTAGATACCTAAAAAAATCTTTAACGAAAAAAAAGACAAAGATTTTTGTTCTTTACATATAGGAGGAATATTTTACTGTTAATTCACAAAAGTAGTTTAAGAACTAAGAAGAGTGTTTTATTCCAAGATAAATAATGTTTATAATAAAGCTAAGATATATTCTTGAAATATTATATTGTATCACCTTTCAACTCTTCGATGCAGATCCACCATATCTACAGGTTTGTCCACTTGAAAAGAACTAGTAATTTGCGGTCCACCATAAATATCCGTAAAACTGATTCCCGAACTTAAGGAGCCTTTACTACTCGCCGTAGATAACGACCCTAAACTGGAACTACTTGAGACAGACAAGGTGCTCGCTGATAACGTCTTCAGTTGTCCTTCCAAAGTCGTCATCGATGTAAGAGCATCTTTCAACTGCTGCAAAAGCAGCTGTTTCTCTTCGTGAAGCCTTAACCTATCTGCTATACACTTATTCGACATCTCAAAAGCATTCTTCAAGTCCTGCTCTAACCTCTTGCATTCTGTTTGTATTTCACTCATTTCCTGTTTCGATCTCGTTCTTGGAGTTATACTCCTCAACTCTTTTAACAATTGTTCTTTCTCTTGGAATAACAAAAGCCTATCCTTATCCGATTCCGCTTGTCCTGGTTGAACTTTGTCTTCCAAATCGGCCAGCTGTTGTTGGATTTGTTGTATCCTTTTTCTAGCTTCGTCGTATTGAAACCGAACTCTTGCCATTTCAGCTAATCTAGTTTGAATAGGTACTAAGTCAGCACAAAGGTCTGTTTGAGACGCTGTGCTTAATTTCTCTTGAGGGAGACTTAACGTCGACAAATCAGGCGAGGCGTCACCCAGTTGGAGTCTCGTAAGATCATCCTTTAACTTCGCTAAAGACTGCATTAAATCTGCTCTCTCTTTCTCTCCCGAAGTGAGGGACTTCTGTATATTCTTCAACTCAGTCATAATCGCTTGAGCCTCCGTAATATTGTAACACCCTTGCTGAGAATTGATTTTTTGTTCCACTCTGAAATTCAAAACACATTTGAATTAGTTATGGCTATAAATGGGACTTACCAATTTACAGTTTTCAAAAAAGGGAAGTGGCCACATGGAGCGACATTGATTGGTAACGTTGGAAACTAGCGTGCGGTTTTAATAAAATAAATAAAATACCGTACACCATGTTAAAATGAACAGGCGCGTGATCTTTACATCAAATGCCCATTTAAGGCACCATAGCTTTCTAAGCCAGGGCTACTAAATCATTACCAATTCTGGACATCTACTATTTATTCCAAGCACGTAATTTAAATGCGATTTCTAGTTCAAGTATTTTTCTGACATTCCTCTCTTCATTATAGCTCCACTTTTATATACTATTACTCTTGTGCCGCTTTGTTTTATTTTTGTTTATCGGCTTTATGTTAATAATGCGGCTACTGAAGCAATTTTTTTTTGTTTTTATTTTTACCTAAAATAATCTCAAATTCCTCCTTACCTCTGATGATCAGTTAAGCCGCTTGTCCCGGCTACATTAAGAGTATTTTGACTTTAAACCAACTGTTTGGAATGTAATGTTATAGCGTGTTCTCATTTTGTCTTTCTCTAAATAGGGAAAGCCTATTGGTACCCCAGGGAATGGGGACAATAACAGTTTGATTATGACTTACTCGGCTAAAGTGTGGACTCCTCTCCTTGCGCTTGCCACTTCAGCTCTTGCTTGCCGTAACTCCTTCCTCAACTGGGCTACTCGACCTCTGGCTTGAGTGACTTCCACTCGGAGCTGGTCAGGGTCATGCCGCGAGGTCGTTGACGTTGTCGTCATTGATGTCGTCGACGAACATACTAAAAAAGGAAGAGGTTTGATATTAATTTTGATTTAATTGTCGGTAGAGCTTAGTAGATTTTTCTTTTGGATTGGAATGGAATACAACTTCCAATAACAGAAGGATGATGACACAATCATTGCAGTACAGAGATTGCCGTTATTGGTAGAGGAATTCTTAGACAAAATAGTGCGAGTCAGATTCACCCAACGAGGGTTCCGTACAAATTTATTAGTGTGCAACATATACAGCCTTTTTTATGTGAACTTAGTTTATGAACGACCTGAGTATATTGTTTAAATTTCCAATCGATTCCTCCACGCGTTCCCCAGAAAAAAATATTTTCTTTTTAGGTACGAATTCCTAAATATTAGAGTGATTTGTATGACCATACTTTGTGCATACCGTCTATATTGTATTAAGCAAAAAACTTTTTTTTTTTAATTATTAGTACTTAAATGAAATTGATACTACATTTACATATATACGTTCTAAAGTACGATTAAATTAAGAACCGTGCACTTGTTTAATTAAACAAATAAAGCTATTAAAATTTTAATACGCCAACACCGGATACCGTAAGCCCATCGAGTTTATCAGGGTCCGAGGCATTTCATTGCGATGTTTCTTATAAAACTCTAAACAAATATCCTATTTAAAAGCAAATTTATCACTCACTCATTTATCATTAGGGTTGCTCACTTTATAACTTTTTATTTAATAAATTTGTTTATGATAAATTTGTTAATTCGAAAACAAACGAAAGTTTATTGATGATGATTTTTTTAAAATTTGTTTATTAATAATCAATAATAATAATCAATAATCAAAATCATTTATTCAGTTTAGGCTGTTACAAGCACATATGAATGTCTAGAAGCTACGCCATCGGTTCGTAAATCTACGGCGGGAGACCTTGTACTGAGAAGAACCGGCAAGAAACTCAGCAAGGGCTGTTTTTTTCTCCCTGTTTTATCATTTACAGAGTCGTCAAGTTGAAAAATGACTTCAGAGATGATTCATGAAGTCACCCTTCATTACATAATGTGAAATTATACATTAATTGTACACCTGCATTTTGATTGCTGTGTCACACAGTATAAATACAAACAGAGTTATTTATAATAGGTGTAATTAAACATTTATATCTTAAATATCAAAAGTAGTTAGGGCAGACTCATCTCCGCTGGCAGCACCCGTTCACGAGCATGACGCATGAACCAGCCATCGCTTCGCTCAACCATATTTTAGGGAACGTAACGACCCGCCTCACACGACACCACCGAAGAGACTTTTAAGAGAGCATGACTACCCATAACCAACTATATCAACCACAACATATTTACTTACTAGCACTAATTATAATTATATAAACTTATTCAAACTAAAAAGCTATTCCATTTAAAAAACTCTTTAAAAATTTACCATAATATTACTAATATTCAGCGTCAAGACATTTTAATATATATTTTGATAAAATAAAATTTATTACAGTACCGTGTTTATTTAACAATAAAAATTTAAACCATAATTCACTATTTGTGTCAAAGTTTCTAGTTTATCTAGTAATATATAAATTGGGCCCGAAGAGACAACACTGCATTACAAAGCATGCAAAATTTATGATCCGTATAAGTTAGTCGCATGCCATCTTAACCATTTGCCATCTTGATGTCTTTAGTGCTTTTTTACGATTACAATTTACTATCCATCTCAGGGCCTTAGGAATACCAGGTACGGTTAAGAAAACTCTAATGTTGTTAGTAAATTATTTTGTAAATCTCATTTTAGAGATACAAGCATAAAGTCTAGAACGAGTTTCTCTCATTACTTATTACTTTCGTATACTAAACTAAACATTCAGTATAATTAATAACAGAGGTCTATCACATTTTTGCATAATAACATTTAGACAAATAATAATGTTGTGACAGACTTAATTAATGTAATATGTTATTAATTATATTGAATGTATACCTTAATGATTTTTAATTCAAGATACTTATTACAAAATACCTAATTTGGCACTTAAAGACCTTTTTTATTAGGATAATATCCGTAACTAATTGACTCGGCGAACTTCGTACCGCCCAAAAGTAATAATTTGCAATAAAATAATATTGCGACTATAAATTGAGATGTACGCTTTCCTATCTTTCAAGTTGGATCAAACTGCACACGGTATGCAAATTTGATTGAAATTGGTTAAGTAGTTTAAGAGTCCATCCCGGACAAACCACGTGACACGTAATTTATATATAAAAAGAAAAAGATATCAGTTACAGAATTAGCAGATCATCGACTGTGAAAGCATTAGAGGCACATAAATTTGTATCAAAATCTTTTTCATAGCCGAACTACGCTATGATTTGCATTTGTTGTTTCTTAACCGTCGTAGATACTTTTGATAATAATTATAAAATATTTGAATACAAAGAATAACCGAATAAATGTGCCCGTTCTATATTTTGTATAGACTTAAGTTTCCTTTGGTCACACCATAATTTGAGATAACTCACACCGAATTCATGTTAAATTATTTTAGTTGTCTATCAATTTTGAGGAGTTTCTGCTATTTTCTGCTTTGAAAAACTAATTTTGCGCTGATTTTTTTAAAATTAAGGAGTAACTTAAATCAAAATATCTTAATAGATACCTCATTTGTCATACAAAGTGAGTATAAATAAAGAACTTACAACTGGTTCTCGAAGCTGCTAGAGTGGACAACGCATTGTTGAGATGTTTGTACTCGTCCTGGGCCAAACATAGTCTCTGCTTCTTCACATCGTACATCTCCTTCTTGGCCTGTGGACAATGAGAAATAACAATAAATATAACAAATAAATACTGTTTATTGATGATAAATAGCTGAGGCTTTAAGACACTTAGAGTATAGTGGATTCTCGAATTACCCTTACAGAAAACCACAGTAAAATAACACTACCTTTTGATGGTGTTGTGTTTTCGTCAGTGAGTAAGGTTCATAATAATTTCTATATATGTACTAGTGGCCCGCCCTCGCTTCGCTTCGGTGTGGAGCTGTAGTGTAGACTAAAATGACTCTTCATATAATTATTAAAAAAACTGAAAATGGTATATTTGCCTTTTCCAGACTTCTATTGACATCACGTCACTCAATGAGGGCTATCGCGTATGAATCCGCCGCTAGAGGCGCTAGTGTAGCGTGAGGTCTCCGAAATGTCAAATGTTATTGCTTGTTGGTTGACTACGCGTGTTTATTTCTAATTAAAATAATGTTGTGAATAATTGGTAACAATTCGGCTTAATTATGGCAAATATGAGTTATGTGGCAATGAATGTCAGTTATTAAAAATTTGAGCTTAGAAAAATGAGTATGTTTCCATTTTTTCCGAATAAAACGGAACTCCGCGTCACTGTGGCATGGCCTATTATGTTTAGGATATGGTTCTTTTGTGTTAAAATACGATCTAAATGTAACCTTTGATTTCATGTGCGTATTAATAAACTTTAAAAGTTACAATTTAGGACCTCACTCAACAGTGGCGCCATCTGGTGAGGCAGAAAACGGTAGCCCTCATTGTTTTGCCTTCCCGGAAACTCTGCACGAACATTTGAAATTTATGGTATGGTATTAAAGTTCCAATTGACTTTCAAGTATTATTACGAATCGTTTGCATGGGAGTATAGAAAAGTGTTGTTTTTGGACTTTTTAGGCATTTTTTTTCTCTGCGTTAGAACCATCCTTGTACTTCAAGGAATATTCTAAAAAAAGAATTATCGAAATCGGTTCAGCTGTTCTCGAGATTTGCGCTTAGCAACACATTCAGCGATTCATTTTTATACTATAGATAATGAAATATACTTAATAATAATAATAATTTCTCAACTCACATTGGCAATTATAGCATTGCATCAATTAATTGAAATAATAATAATATATAAACAATTGAAATAATTATTTTAATAATATTGGTTTTAAAAAGCACCCGTACATGCAGTTTGTAAGGTTCCCTATACAAAGGATGACTACCGAAATATTATGTACTCCGAAATACCGTAATATAAAATACCTAAAAAAATAACATGTATATCCGAAATCATCTATAAGGTGGAGGTTAATTCCCCAGACGGGCACTCCAATTCAAGTGGCAAGTCTGCTATGCCCTATCGACCTTTCTTAGAATTAAGGGCCACTAGCCTTATATTATAACTTCTCTTGAAGGAGAGTTACTAACTCATAGTGACTAATAATAACACCTTAATTTGTAATTTAATAGTAAAATTAAAGTGTAATCCTATTTTAACACGTTGTTTCATCTCATCTTTTTAAAGTCTTTTAAGTTCAAATAGGTAGAAATAGAAAGAGACTTATTAAACATTAATGATAAACTTTTCAAGAATTTTTCTGCTAGTGGACCCAAATCTTGTGTAATAAGTACGGAATTTTTCGTAACCGATTCTCAATTCGACTGTGTATCAACTAAATGTTCAAATTGAATCTAAATTTGAATTGATAATTTGCGTTTCCAGATTAGGTTAGGTAAAAACAAACTACTTAATCAAAGGCTTGTTGACTTGTAAAATGTTTGATTAAACTTATTGCTTAGTAATGATTAGTTAAATAAAATTAAACACATGATTATGTTAAGCGCATTCATTTTACACGGTTAATGAACTGAGTGGCATGCAAGATGTTTTATTAATCAAATATTAAACGACTGTGGGAAATATCATTATAGCAACAATTTTTCTCCAATAAAATAAAACTTAAAATAAAATAAACCTTTTCAGGATAACTGAAACTTTCATTGATTTAAACATGTAATATAGTATGCTCAAAGATGCAATATTGTGTGAAATAAATTATGAAAAGAATTTTCATATAGCTTTCTTACTAGTTATAAACCACAAGACATACAAAGAAAACGAATTAAAAATAAGGACGAAAACGAAAAGGATTAAAACAAAATCGACACAGTGCTGAGAGCAGTCGTTTGGTGGCCAAAAGCATTAATATCCATATAGAGAGAGAGAGGGAGAGTCAGTCTCCTAAAGATAAAGAAAATTTTACTAGAAAAGAAACCCACGCGGTACAGGCAGGAGACGGGACTCGAACCCGCACCCTAGGCTGTTCGGGCGGATGCGCTTTCGGATGGTGGATGCGGATTAAAATAAATAAAATAGACTATCTTAAAGATGTAATAATAATCAGCGAGTAATAATTGTTATAAGTATGGAGTAAAGAACCGCCATTGTTTTTACAACAATTAAGGACAAAAGTAGATTATTTATTTTAAGCATTTAATTGTCTATAAACGATGATTTATAAATCTAAAGAAAATTTTGTCTGCTTGACGCCTAAACCGCGTGAAATTATTTAATTATTTTTTTTCTCTTTAGCTCCAAAACTTCATTATTATGAACTAAAGAGATCTTGATTTCATTTCACAATCAAGACTCTTATTTAAAATTTCAGTGTACTCTTTCTGAAAATATCCAGTGGGATCATTTACGTTTTTAATATCTTTTTTCATAACTTTAGACTCTTAAAGAAAAATGCTTACATTATTTATATCAAAAAAATATGTATCATAAAAATCTAATTTAAATAAGAGCCATATCCATACCATAAGGAAAACGCTGACTGCATACCTTACTCTATAATTATTAAGGAATGTCTTTAATGCTTTATTTGTTAAATGATAGAGCAGCTTCAAGAATTAAATATATGTTATTATTAAAGTCTATCGGAATGATGTCATAGGATCATAATGTAGCCATCGTTTGGTGTAAAGTCATCCTCATACCGTGTCAGAAGCGGGTTACCGTATTTCACAAGTGTATAAGAAATTCAACGGGTTACTTCCAAAATTAACAAGTCATTAGAACAAAATTCCGAAGTGTGTTTTTGTAGCGGACATAAATACAGTATTATATTGGGCTACAACTTTTTGCTAGGAATGTGCACAAAAAGTGGTTAAATAGAACATCATTCATTTCATACGATCATATCCTGTTCCGTAAGAAATATTTTATTACACACGCCATCGAAAACGCAATGTATGCTCCTATAACAGGTTCTGATAGAATATAACGACTTTATAGGATATGCGAAAGGTATTTACTGTAAATAGCCTGAGTGATCCTGTGACCCTGCAAGCTTGCTGCAAGCGGCTCCAAGTGTGAGGAGGACATTGTGGAAAGGTGCCGTTCCGGCTCAGCACCTGCGTCGCCACGTAACCCTGACCTTCGTAGTAAGCCACTTCAGACACCGGCACTAAACGCACTTCCGCGGAACGAATCTGCCGCACTGATAAAATGTTTTCGTATATCGTTTCATCCTCCAAGTTCTGGCCTTCCGGGCATAGGCGGTAACCGAACTCGCGACTGATCTCATCGAGGTTCGCGTACTCGGGACGCTTGCGCAGCTCGTCGAGATTCTGATACTGGGGTTCATCACGAACTTGCAGACCGGGCGGCCGGGCAGAGCTAGAATCTACGCGCACCCCGTATTCGGGTGGTTCTCGAACCATGCGAGCGAGTTTACGGGTACCGAAGCAGCCGCGGCACCAGGTGTGCGCGCCGGCGGAGGATGCGCGTGCGCGGAACGTCGGCGGTTCGGACTCGGGGGGAGGCGGCTGGGACCACATCGTGAGCGCCCGCCGCAACGGACACATCTTAACCCCCAAAAGGGCGCGCGTCGACTGGCTCGGGCGCGCGGAGCTCGGATAGCGCGCGGAGGAATGCGCCCGCGCCGCCGAAAGAATGCAATCTCGGGCGCATTTCGGAGGTCGATCTCTCCGAAGGGCCGGGGTCCGCGCCCGCTCCCGCCTCCCGGGCCGCGGCCATCTGTCGTAATAAGTTCGTCGAATCGAACCGTGCGCCCGCCGAGGTGTCGGCCGCTCGGCCCGAACCGTCGCATCGCCCTAACGGACCCCCGATGACCTCGTCCCGTCCCCGGCATGCGAATCATTCACCGAACCGCGGCATTCCACACTCGGGCATTTAAAAAGAAATATTGCGCTCCACTCGTACAGAAGCTCGTTAGCTAGGCGACGATAAACAATCGTCATAATGAGTGTAATCCAGTTAAAAAAGCCGGCTGCGACAACGGCGCGGTACGGAATGCAAAAAGATAGCAATTTTATGTGGCCGCGGCGGTCACGCACCGCGCGTAGTTAGCTCGCCATTTTCTCAGATTTTCCACGTAATCAATTTACGAGGTTTGAAGGAGGAATGCGGGGCGGCGCGGGGATTCATCGGGCCGGTGCGAGTGCGCAGGTAGACGCGCGCATTTTTGTTCCGGAATTCCTTAACACGCATTTGCAATCCCGTCCTGGCCCAATACTTAAAAGCTCCCGCTTCGGCAGTTTGAGCAAGAGCCCAACTAGGGTCATACCATTTCAGTAACTTCGGTAAAGCTCACATAGCATATCCCAAGGATTGGTATCAATCTTTAGTAAGTAGCATCGGATCTCCTGGAACGTTACGTGCCTCCATAATTAGTTGAACATTCCAGGTCTGTTCTGTGCGAAACCTATTCTCACGCGAGCAAACGTTCGGACAGGATCACTGGTATTTTCTTTAACCACGTAACTCTTTTCAAAACATGTGCGCGTTGAAATGTGGCTAAAATATAACGAAGGGTCTTTTTTATGGAATACATAAAAAAGTAAAGATCTTAAAAACAATAATGCTGAATGGGTTAATGGAAATTATGCGTACACCATGAGGGAAGACTTTTGTAACATCCCATGAAACTTTAGAAATGATAAAAATGACCACTTTTTAGTAAGAATCAATGACGAATATGCTAGAAATCA